CTCATTTGCCCAGTAGATTATTTTTTCCAAGGTATTCCTGCCACATTCAGTGGACAGGATGGACAGTGCTTGCTTAACGAGTTCTTATGCTTTCTTCATTATCAGGGGTTGATCCCCCGTGCAAAAATAATTTCCTCCTCAATGTACCTTAATGTTTATGTGTTTTGCAGATGCTGATTAACATTTTTGTTATATCTACATCATCTCACTTTGCAGTAAGAAACTAAAGTACAGGGGAACTATTCCTTTTGCTGCTACTTATTTTTGATGCTTCACTTCAGATTCTCAGAATTTGAATTCTTGGTGTACCAGTTTATTTGTTAAACTGGCAAAAGTTTATTTGTTAAACCAACAATCTGCAGCTGCTAGTGCTTGGCACATAAGTAAATTAGACCCAGGGTCTCTAGATAAGCAACCAAAAAGCAAAGAAAATGTATCTCTAAGTGTTTTCACTTAGAACTCAATGACAGGCAAAGATAGAATTCATTTCCTCATCACTGTACTCAAAACTTCAGTATTCCTGAAGCTTTATCTTTCATACCCATCTTTCCATTTCTGGACTATACAAAGCATCGTTCCTGCAAGCTTCGTTCCCAGCACATTTCATCATATGCAATAAATAAGCAAAAGAACCTGTGAAAAGAGTGCAGTTTAAGACTGTATTATAATATTCAGGGAGCAAAACAAAACTGGACATAAAGCCATTCTATCACTGTCTTAATCTCAGTGAGGAGATTAAGGGAGATATTTGGATTAGACGTTAGAAAGAACATTTTTCTTTTGAGGGGGGTGAGGCGCTGGCACAGGTTGCCCAGAGAAGCTGTGACTGCCCCATCCCTGGCAGTGTTCAAGGCCAGGTTGGACGGGGCTTGGAGCAACCTGGTCTAGTGGAAGGTGTCCCTGCCCGTGGCAGGGAGTTGGAACTGGATGAGCTTTAAGGTCCCTTCAACCCCAACCAGTCTGTGATTCCATGATTATTTCTCTACCCCAGCCCCTCTGCCTTAAGAGTACTTGGTTCTCACTACCAACACAGCAGCTCCTGCCCACCCTCTTTATTGCTCACTCACAGCATTAGTCTTCCTATGTGGTGCAGTCCAGCTTGCTTTTTAACCAACTGTGCACAGCCCACTTTCCCCTTCCACCTAAAACCTCATTATATTTTCTTTTTCCCCCTGCTAATTTCCTCATCCACATTTTCCCATATCAGATCTGATCTTGTCTCCCTTGAATCTGATGGAGGTAGTTACATCATTTCCTACATGTGAACAAGAGTTACACATCCCTGATGGAAGAGGGGGGGATGGAAATCATCTCCCAGAATAGGACAACTACATCTTGTCAGAGAAAAACATTGCCAGTATGTTTTTTTTACTATGGGTAAAATAATGTATTTTTCTCTAATCTTGCTCTTGGAAGACATTAAACTGTTCTGGCTGAAACTTTCTGAAGAGAATTCAGCCTGAGGCAGACACCCAATGCAACATGGAAAAATACAGTTTGAAAAGCTACTTTGAAAGCCATGAAGAGCTGAAAACAGGCCTTTAGGGCTGGAAGTGCCTGGCAGCCTCAGTAATAGATGCTGTTACTAGCCCTGCCTGTAGTGAGAGTCAAAGGGCCACCCTATAATGTCACCCACTTTGGTGACAATCAAACACAAACCAACTGCATTTGATGGAGTAACTCTGGGCTCCTGTGCACAGACTCAAACCAAGATTTCTGCCATTTAACTGTCCAACAACTCGATGGCTACATGAAGTCTGATCCTAACGACACTTTCCCATGCCCTAGGGTGTGCTATTGAACACGAACACAGACAGCAGCACTGGTTACAAGATTTCCCCTGAGCCTCTGTTTATGATGTGCAGTTGATTACAAACACTTGGTGGACAAGCAATTGGGATGCCAGCTGTTGATATCCTTGTTTCTTCAGCTTCTCAGCTCTGAAGTTTGGTGTAATGGACCTACCTAAAGTAATGAGACCAACCTGCTGTATTGCCAGATACATTTAAGGGAGTCCTCCTGCCGCTTGGCTTACATGGTTTGACAGTAATTGTTGAAGTGGATGCCATTATAATGGCACTGCAAAACAAAATTGTAGAATTATTTTACCAATAAATATAATTACATGCTCATCAGGCTATGAGCTTATGAGCAATTAGTTCTCCATACCATAATGCAGTCCATAATGCCAATTTTTGCATGTTAGAGGATGCCTGACAGAAATGACACTTGCAGATCATAGTCACAGAATCACAGAATGGTTTGGGTTGGAAAGGACCTTGAGATCATCTAGTTCCAACCCCCCTGCCATTGGCAGAGATGCCTCACATTAGATCATATCACTCAAGGCTCTGTCCAACCCGGCCTTGAGCACTGCCAGGTATGGAGATAATGGATATTTACAATCAAATGAGATTTTACAGCTCAAAGATTGTCTGTCACCATAAATCAAGAGTTCTAACATACAGAAATGCAAATGGCATCCTGTGACTTTAGTCACTTAAGCACCTAATCCTTCTATTGAAAGAAGTTCTTCTTTCAGTACTACACAAGATTGAGTAGCATGAAGTGAGAAGGGATGTTATCGTAAGTCATTCAAATATTGACACTGCTAAATGAATATAAATGTGCATACACACACATATAAACATATATATCTCTACACACTTACTGCTAAGTGCGTGTAGCTAACATTCATCTCCCTACAACATTTATAAACTGACCCTAATATCACATTGTAATGCTGAACTTCTGGAGGAGGAAATTCAGACATGGAAGTCATGACAACCTTCCTAAGGTACTCACAGAATGAGAAACAGTACTTAGATAAAGACTCCTATACTTCTGTTTAAAACACTGGCTAAAACCAAACCAAAGCATAATCCTATAAACATAAACATTGTTACATTATCACAGTAACAGTTCTGCATCCATACATCAGTTTTACTCTTGGTTTATATGTATAAATATAAATGCATTGTACATACATATATAGACTACTAGATAAGAAAAAATAATCAAGAAATCATTTCACACAAAGGAAAATTCTTATGAGTAACAGTGGAATACTAGAGAGTTTTTTTAATGGCATAACAAGTGTCTCATAAGCTTCTGTAATTACATATCTACTTTTACTAGTGCCTCAACAGGTCCATGTCAGTTGTTGCTTACAATGGTACTGCAGTATCAAACACAGTGTGAGACAAAACCTGCAGTTAAGTCTGTTGAGAGAATCACAAAAATCTGATTTTCCAACAATAAATGGGAACAGAATCTAACCCCATCTTTGAGGTTCTTTGGGATAACATCTTAAAGCAAAAAGTATGGTTTCTTCCCAATAAATTCCACAGTAATTTTAGTTACTGTTTAGCATGTTAATGATATAATAATACATACAAAATACATTTATATGCAGTGGATTTTAACCTATGTGTATGAAATGCAACTAATTTTACATTTGTAAGGACTTTATTATCACCACAGTATTTAGCTATTGCTTTTTTATTTTTTAGACATACGTTTGTGTCACATCTTGAAAGGAGGCTCCATACTGCAACCTGCATTCCCACTGTCCACAGTGCCATTAAACACAGGCCTTCTTTTAAACACATCCTTAAATGCAAACAAAATCAGTCGGATGTAAGTGCCTTCTTAAAGGTACCTAAATGAACATAATAAGTAAATTAAATGGAACGAATTCTAGAAGACTCCAAAGTGGTTTCCAGTCAAGTCCATTGAAATCCCATTGAAATCCAGACTTCAGGATGAATCTTAAATAAACTACAATTACTTGACATGAAGCAGTTATTCTCCAAAATGTTTTCTACTGCTGCAGTCCATCCAGTAAAAAGAAGGTAACTTGTAAGCACTGGCACAAGCTAAATTTTACATCAAAAAATTTAAAAATTGCTATTTAAGCTTATACCTTTTTATTATATTTTCCTGAAGGAAAAAAGTACAGTTAAATCAGAGTATAACAGCATAAACGCAATCCATTTATGACAAAATTTCTAATAATCATAAAGATACCATTTCAGATCCCAGAAGAATTTTCTGAGGATACTTCAGGAAGCACAAATCAGCACTAATCACACCATTTGCGGTGAAAAATAACTCTAGCCTTAAGTGTGGCTACTTTAGGTGGAAGGCAGAACAGAAGCTAGCTCCATCTGAGCTCCCTGCAAATCCACAGACCAGGTCTGGTCTGAATTCTGACTCCGCACCCCAGCTCCTGGGAATACTGTGATGCTATCAGTGCTAGAATCTCCCCACACTCCTGATGAGTTAGCTTTGCTTCTTGGGTGGTGGTGCAGAGAGAAGCCCCTTCCATTTGTTTGCAAAGCCCCAAGGAATGATCCTAAAACCATCTCTATTCTTTGCTATAGAAAAGGGATGTGGGTGCTCAGTGCAGCAGTTCACAAGTACAACCTGTACTGACTAGAGGGCAATGCCAGCAGAAGCACAGTGGTGGTTTAGCACTGTGGCATAGTCCCAAAGGGACACGGCTTCAGGGCCAAGATTAGTCAAGGCACATTAACACAAACTAGAGGGAATAGAGCTGTCCTGCTTTCAGCTCTAGAGCTGACAAGTGGGTTAGTTACATCTACATTAGTTTATTGTCATCTGTCTCGATTTCAGGTCAATTACATGCATCTTCAAGCATTACAGGTTGGTTTGTAGATTGATTATCCACCATAAATGAAACCTGAGGCTGAAATCAATTGACTTGACATTTACCCTGTTCCACAGCCTAAACACATAACAGTCCTCAGGGCTGAATTTTAAGGAGGCTTCAGAAGACAAAATGATAAGGGCTGATTAATAGTTACTAACAAGACAAGCCTGTGGGAATGTGAGTCATGAATGGGCCAGAAACACAGGCTTTTACCCAAGCTAAGCTCTGATGTCATCATGGGAGCTACCAAGTAATATAGAAGCCAGGTTCTGTAGCAGCAACCTTCACTTTTAGATGACATACGAAATTATCCACCCAAAACAGACTATTTTTTAAAATATGTTTTAAAGGTGACTGGGACAAGAACACTGCATCTCTCATGCAAGGCAATACAGATTTCCTACTTTTACTGTAGAAAAATACAGTTCTTAAAAGCTAATGTTAAATTCAGCTGTGTATATAGGAAGATTTTCGGATGCTTGTCTTAGTATAACATCTGTTTGAAAGCAGACAGTTCACTTGGAACTTTCATTTTGCAAGACAAGCTAACCAAAATATCTTAAGTCATTATGGCCCTGGGAAAGCAGCCAAATCCTTTGGTGTCTTAGTTCCTTATTAAAGGCTAGAAATGAAGGTACCTTGCAAGACTTTCGAGTCAAAACTCACTGCATGCCATGCTGTCATGTGCCCTCCTTGCTACTGAGGCACAGCTAGAGTCAGACAATCTCTGCGGCACAGATAAGTTTTACATGAAAGAGACTATTCCAGTGGTATCCAGCTCCTTCTGGCATTCAGTTATAAGGCTTGCTAAGAAACATGAATATTCAGCAAGTCAGACTCAGTTCAAAACATTCAGTCACCTTCAGATCCAACTGACCAGGAGGAACCACAATTTTAACGAACCAGCAGTCAGGTAAAAACTCACTCCTGCAAGTCCACACAGTGGCACTTGGGACTGAGTTTGGCCAGTGATCTTCAGCTTCCTTCAGGAGCTGTCAGTTGTTGCATTCAGGCAGGCTGTGCAGCTGACAACGTACAGGCAAGCAGTCAGTCCAGCAGGCAGCACGCCATCACGTGCCACAGATCAAGACTAGGTCACTGGCAGTCTTGGGCTGCCCAGTAATAGGATTCCTTCCAGCTTGTCCAGAGCATTTACTTGGCACAAGTCCACAAGTCTGTTCCCAACAACAAATTCATGCCTGAGTTTGACAGGAAGTTATTTGACTCAATCAGTTGTTGTTTTTCTCCCCTCTGCCAGCATGAGGCTTTCTGAAGAATTTTCACTTCTGTTGCAGCCTCAACAGGTCATTTCTCATCAGATCCCAAGGTAAAATCTGCTGCAGCTCTATTTACCTTATCCAGTTCCCCCCATTGTCAATTGAAATCCCATGTCTCTTAGTCCTCTTTTCTTGTGTCAGGAAACCTTTGGGACAGTTTATAATCTATGTAAGCACTAAGACAGGACCACAAAATGAACCGTATTAATATAATGACAACAAGTAAAATCATCAAAAGGGCTGATTCCATATTTAAACTAGAATAATGAGGTAATGAAAAATAAAAAAAATCTGGGAGGTCTAATTACATAAATGCAGTATTCAGTTGCGCGGCCAGCCCAGCAATTCCTGTAGCATTCCAACCAAAGTGATCTCACTAGCATGTGAGAGAAGAGTCCAGCTGACAGATTTGGGACATGTAACGTACTATTTAGTCAAGAGGCCCCATGTGCTATTCATAAAGAATTAACAACTCTTATATTGACAATGACAGTATTGTCAGAAGACCTTTGGAAGGGGGAAAAAAATCCTCCATAAACTCAGTCTCTGTGAAGTTGGACTTCTCTCTTCTCCTTTTTTTTTTTTTGCCCCTTTTTTCCAGTGCTGATGTAATCTCCAAACATCTCCAGCAGCAGCTGCTTGGCAAAACCAGGCACCTTCTCCGTAGTCCCTTTCAGCAGCACACGCAGCACTTTCCAGCTCCCTCAAGACAATCAGGGCCTTTCTTTCACCAATTAGCTATCACTTCAAGAGCCCTGCGCTGTCCAACGAGCTCTGACAAATGGTCTTTGCAGGAAACAACACTGGAGGAGCTGCTTTTTTTTTCCTAGACAAATTAAAAGGGGAAGAAGGCGGGGGGGGGGGGGGGGAATAAAAAAAAGGGCACAACAAATCAGAACAGAAGCTGTCCAAAATAGCTCATTTAGTACACTGATAAATGCAGAAATGTCCTCAAGAGCCACTGCTGGAGCAAGGCACACATAAAAAAATGTTCCTGCTTTCTTTAGGAGATAGTTTGGTTGGTTTAATATGTTAAACGGGTTTGATAGAAAGAAAGGCTTTTGTTACAGCAAGTCTCTGAGCTATAGAAATAAAAGGGAAAGAAACTCCTGTGAGATTCTGTTCTATTTCCTTATTTGGCTCTACAAGTGTAAAGCAGCATTATTTGAAGTAGACATTATAGGAAAGAACTCAGTGTAGTTCACTTTAAATATAGATGGTCTGATGAAATGAGTAATTATCGGAACTGCTAAGATCTTTCTGAACACTTTTTGAACATACCCAACAGAAACCACACTTTCCATCTAAAAAGAACTTAAAGCCTCTTTCAGAGAAAAAGCTCTGTGAATTTTGCATTTTTTCCTTTAAAATCAGGGAATAGGTACAGGAACACTTGGAGATCCTTGCTGAGGCCAAGTCCCTATTAGAACAAGTTCAATCTCTAGGAACCGGTTCAAGAAGAAACCAAGGAACTTGTATAGATGTTTGAACCCTGCCTGCACTTCATGAACTGGACCTGGGGAGGCAGAGCTGTGAAGACAAAAATGTGAAGATGAGCACTAAGTGAAATGACTTGAACAAGGTCCAAGCAATACCACAGTGTCAGGCCTGCTTCCCCAGTTGTCAGAACTCTGCCTTGAACCAAAATGTCATACCTAAATATTGAGTGTTAGTATTCTCTTACAGTACCATTTGCGGGTCAAATTTGTCCTGATTGGGTAACTTCACAAGATTACAACATGTTCTACAAGGGCAACACAAATAAATTTATATACATACAAATTGTCTGTTCCTTTTTATGTCTCTGTATCAGAAGCAAAGCTCCACGCATTGTAAACAGTTAAATGGCATGGCAAAGCAAATACTTTGAGGAGTTTCAGAACTTTATCCACACTAATAGATGCTCTTAACTACTATGGGGATTTTTTTAATGGAGTAAGAAAGTGTCACAACTGATCAGATTGCTTAAAAAGAAAGTGTGATGTATTAACCTACGTGCATTTATGAAAGAATGTGAATGAACTCACATTCTTCTGCACGAGAAGGCTCAACCAAGGGATGAGTACACACAATCGGGATTAAGAAGGAATCTTTGTGGAGGTGCACCGAACAATGAGTGTCTTTTTATACCTACAGACTTCAAAAGATGCTGAGTTTAAAGGGACTACTCCTTTCAACTAGCAAAGATGTTGCTGAAAAAAATACAGCAGGCAGGAGAGAACAAACATTTACACAGAGATGTTACTAGGGCCACCTCCAGTTATAGCAAAAAGGATGAAAGGGACCCAAAGGTCTATAAGCTTGCCCTGAAGCAAGATCAACTATGCCATTCCTGACAGCTGTTTCTCTAACCTGCTTTTTTAAGAAACTTATATCCACACAGATGAGAAGAAAGGAAATCTTCACTTCATCTGAAAGGGATTTAAGAAGGAAAAGCAGTTTGACAAATTGTTTGGTGGCTTTATCTGCTACACTACAACCACTGTGAGCCCACAGCCAGGGCTTCCACTGTACGTACTCACTTGGGCAACTGGCTCATTCTGTAGCTGTAATTTCTTGGTTGAGACAATGAGATCTGCTGTTTTTCAGAAAGCACACACCTGTGTGTCTTCTCTGGATGGATGCAATTGCTATACCTGACAGTGCATCTTCTGTGACAATCATCTTCCTTTACCCTGGTGCTGTCCTGCTGTCCACTCTCAAGCAGCATCACTGACAACCACCAACAGGATTTTATACAGGTTGGAAAAGACCTTTAAGATCATCAAGTGCAACCTTTACCCTAGGACTGCCAAGTCCACCACTAAACCATGGCGCTGAGGGCCTCGTCTACATGGTGTGTTAACACCTCCAGGGAAAGTGACTCCACCACTGCCCTGGGCAGCCTGTTCCAATGCCTTAACACCCTCTCTGTGAAGAAATTGTTCCTAATATTCAGTCTAAACCTCCCCTGGCATAACAACTTCCCCCGGCACAGTCAATGACAGTCCAATGGGACTGTCAGGCAACTCGGCACATCTTATGCCTTGGCCATCAGCTCCAGCTAAATCTGCTGGCAGTGAGAAGCTCGGTGGTTATTTAAGGGCACATGAAATATGAATTGGGGGTTCACTCCAGTGCCAAGTGAACAGATGCCTCCTCCCCAGCTCACAAGTGGTTCTCAGCTATGCCACCTCCAGTATTGACCAAGAGGTGTCAAAGCCAGAACAGAAACCACACAACCCTCACACCTGGTGCTTGGCTCTGCTTGGGACAGGCTGACAAAGCCGGGTAAGCTTATACGATGGCTGCCTGCTCAATAGCAGGTTTATGGCTCCACATGCCATGGCTGTCAACTTGGCACTCTTCATAGGTACTCCAGTTATTCACACAAAGGAATACTGCATTTCAGTTGCTGAAGATGGAAGGAGAGTGCTTTTCTGCTTAAATTTCACTTCTGAGGACAGATTTCCTCCCACAGAAAATGAATGGCACAGCATAAGTAAGACTAATCTACATGCCAGATAAAAACATTGGGTGGCTAGAGTTTAGAAAATGCAGCTTGATAGGGAGAGCTGTTCTTCCCTCTTTTGTGAAGTAGCTTGACAGTGAGTGAGGAAGAGCACTATGAAAGCCTAGATGCTGAAAATTATTATTTGGCTTTCCTGAAATCTACTTTTTCACACAACAGATGTTCCTAATACCTGGCACTGCTTTTTATGGTTTGCCTTTTTGAAGAATGAATGCTGTCTCACACATAAAAGCATCCTCTCTGAACAAAGTTTATTCTGCTACAATCATTTTGCAACTAATCATACCTCTGGAGAACAATGCCACCATAGAACAATATTCCTGATGGGTAATATTTTATTACTAACATATGCTTCCATCATGTAACCAACACTATTATTTCTGCTATAAATGTTTATTAAAATCCTTTCATTTGAAACTATGTCTGAGACAGATTCCATGTTTTACTTTTAAATTATCACAATTAATTGCCCTGGTAATCAGTGCCCAATGAAGAGTAAAAAAAGATATTATGCATTCTTGCTGACCTTTAAAATGCAAGGCAACAGATTTCACATCTAATTTTCCAGTTTCAACTATAAAGCAGTGTATCTCCTAAAATACCACTCCACTCCTAAAATATTAAAATTATCAAGTGAATTTACAAGCAACAAAGCAGACAACACAATTACAAAACACCCACTCTTATCATCAGTTGAAACATATTCCAAAGCATTATTATATATTAGAGGTAAAAAATAGGCTATTTGACTTACTGTTTTTACCCCACATCCAGAAATCAGGATATCTACAAAAGAAAAACACGAAGAGCTGCAGGTGTTGGAATGGCTACAGAAGGTCTCAGTTCATTGCTAAGAAAAAGAGCAAAACTCAAGACCAGCACTTATCTCTCAGAATCACATGCCTCCTATAGTTATCAGAGTCAAAAAGGCACCTTGCTACAGTTTACATACATGAAAGCTCCTGAACAAGCAATTCTAAGTCACACTGAAAACAAAATGCCACTTCAAAGGGGCCAAATCAATGTATTCCTACCTTTAGAGGACAAAATCTGACAAAGTCAATTGCTGTTTCAAATAACTTGTGTTAATACGGACATATCAAGATCATTCAATGTTGCATTGAAACAAAGGAAAGCAAACACCTGCCCCACTGGTTTTCTACTGGAAAATCCCCAGCAGACATACTCCTCCCACTACAGTCAGCTCCAGATGCCCACTGCCATGATCAAGAAAAAACAAGAACAGAAATAAGATACTTCATGTATTACATATTCTTCTCTTAAGAGTTACTTTAGTGTCCATAAAACCAGAAGCATTTGTAGAACTCTAGCTCATCCTCAAAGGCCTGACAGTCAAAAGTGGGATTTAAAGGCAAGAAAAGAGCACAGATCATAGAAGGAACAATAATAAAAGTGAGTAAAGGACTAGGAGGAAATGGATCAAAACCTTAGCAGTCTTAGAAGTGATTACCTGAGGACATCTGTATTTTAAACAAGACTTGATGAGACTCACTGTTACTGTTGCCACCTCCATATGCTGCTGCAGTGCTCAGTAGTAGGATCTTGCTTCCTTTTCACTAATAGGAATTTTTCACTAGGAGTGGGATCAGAACATGATCTACAAGTAGCAGAATAGACCACGTGCATGCCATTATATTTAATCACACTAATTCATTAAGAAGTGTATTAATATCCAAAAAAAGTCCACCTAATCGTGAACAAACTGAAAAATACAGAAGTATTTAGCCACTCACAGGAAAAAAAAGCATAAATATTTAGAATTTATGTTTCCAAGTTCGGAATAGCTTATTATCAGGCAATTATTATATCCATTTCTCTCTTTAGCAGTAAGAGACCAACAGAAGTTGCTAGGTCTTCACACTCAGCTGCATAATGTTTTGGTTGGAGAGAACCTCTGGATTTTTTGCTGGGGAAATTAAGGAATTCTCACTGAATGCTATCAGACATAACGGATCTAGCCCTAAACCATCCTTTCTCAGTGTTGTCATCAACGGGTTTTGGTTTTTTTTTCTCCCACTAAATTAACAGAATTTACATCAATCTACTAAAGATTATTTTTGACAAAACAGCATTTCAACCAAAATGCCAGTTTTTCAAAACTAGAAATATGGGAAAACATGCTCCAGCTCTGATGAAATATTTGCCCAGAGTTGCTTTTCAGACCCATAAAATTCAAGATCAGAACAAACCAGAAAGATCCAGCTCTTCAAAACATTATCCAGGCAAGGCACTCATGCAGAAAACCACAGTTTGAGTCTTTTGACAAGTGCTGTGGCCACCTATTTTTGGCCTATTCCCAAATCTCTCATGACTTAAAAACCTTGCCTCCTTCTCACTGTATATAGAACCAGACTGGGGCCTCAAACACAGGATGGAAAACCCAGTTCCCTCTCATCTGCAATGACTTGTCTTTGGCAGATTAAGCCCTCATGGAAGGGGGCTGCTACATGCTGCATCTCCTCAAGCTCTGCTTGGACAGTGCTCCTTCCATGCTCTACTAAGAAGAGATTAGATCAAAACCTGTCTCTGATCTACAGTTGAATTTGTTGTTTCTAGTTGTCATTCGATTTGACAGCTTAAACCACTACTGACAGAAACCAACAGTGACACAACCACCATTTCCAAACAAGATCCAGCATGTGATAAATTTTACTATTAAATACAAGTTCAAGGGTACATTTTCAGCTATATGTCATAGGC